TATATATACATATGACTGTCGCGTCATTAAAAGATGCTTGCTAGAAACAAAAAAGTATCAGTATTATAGCTAAAACCTAAAAGTAGCAGAAGGTTAACTAAATAATATAAGTAGCTAAATGTCAGCTAGAAGCTATAAGTTGCAGAATGGAAGCTAAAAACTAAATGTAGTAAAAGTTCCAGTCAAAAGTAGAAAAAAAGCCACCTAAAAGTATGACAATTGTAACTAGAAGCTAAATGCTAGCTAAAAACAGCAAAAGATTACCAAAAAGCTAAGAGTAGATAAAAACAGCAAAAGTCTGCTTTTATTGCTAAAGATTTTAGAATAATTGCTAAATTCTAAAAGTAGCAAGAGTGGCTAAAAAAACAGTAAAATAGTTACTAAAAGCTAAAAGTAGTAAAATGCCTTCTAGAAACTAAAGGTTTCAGTATGATAGCTAAGAGCTAAAAGTAGCTGAATGTTAGCTAAATAATATGAATAACTAAATGCCAGCTAGAAGCTACAAGTTTTGGAAGGTTGGCTAAAAGCTAAAAGTAGCAAAAAGCTTGCTGAATGATAAAAGTAACAAAAATTCACCTAAAAGTAATAAATAGGTAACTAGTAGCTAGAAGCTAAAGTATCAAAATGCTAGTTAAATGCAGCAAGAGATGAACTACAAGCTAAAAAGAGCAAAAGAATAAATAAAAAGCAACATTTAGGTTATTGCTATTGTGTGTTACATTCATACATGAATGGCTAAAATAACCGTCAGGAGAAGTTGAAAACCTGTAGAAAAGATGTTGCAGCAGAGTTTCTACCTGCAGCCATCTTGGATTAAGTATTTTTGAATCAGATTTTGTAAAAGATTGTTTCACGGCTGTGTTTAAAATTGGTTAATTATAGCTCTTTGTGAAATTAGCGTTAGCATGAGCTGGGTTATTATTCTTAGCTACGATCACACAAAATTGCAGCTCAATAAATTTTCCATTTGGAGTTAGCTGTGGTGGCCATTTTGAACTTCTAAGTAGTTTTATTTATTAGTATGTGCCCAGAGTTGTAAAGTAACTAAGTAAAAATACTTTTTTTTACTGTACTTAAGAAGTATTTATATTTCATAAATTATATTATTGCATTTGACTGCAGCCCTCAGATAGATTTTCATTTTGGGGAAAAGCTTTGTGCAGCCTTGATATATGTATATAAACTGAAACAGCTGGACTAGTGCATCCTAAATTTAACATCCATTCATTCTTTTAATAGTCATTTCTGCAGTTTTTGGGGAGGTCACCTCCTAATAAATGTCCTTACAGAAAATCTAACTGCTCATTTTAAATCTATACTTTGACTTTTAATACTTAAGTACAAAGAATACCAGATACTTTAAGACTTTTACTCAAGTAATATTCCTAAAGGAGACTTTAACTTTTACCAAAGTAATTTTTTTTGGTGAGATACTTGTAATTCAAGTATCACTTTGCGGTACTTTAGACAACACTGTATGTGCCCCCCTAAAAAAACACCTCGGCCACCCCTGCTGTGCCACCCTGTGCAAAAATGTCTAGCTCCGCCCCTGTTTTGTCACATAAATAACATGAAAACCAAACTTTCCCCACTTTTAATATGACARTAATATGAAACATAAAATATTTACCGTATAACTGGCCAAGAGCAGAAGGAGGAACACTTGGACAATAAAAAGAATATAAAACTCCTGTAATGTTTTAAGCTGTAACACCACGTGCGTCCAGCAGGTGGCAGCACCACTTTAACTTTGGAGACAGGAAGCAGAAGGTCTTCAGTGAAAACAGTTTTTGTAGTTTGTTTGTTTGTTTGTTTGTTTTGTCAAACTTGAAACAAAGGCCAGTTTTTGCCTCTCTGGCACTGATCTGTTGTGTTAAATGTTTGTCTTTTGTTTCTGTCAGAGGAGGCAGAAAACCAGCGTTTAGGTCTAAACATTGTTCTGGTAAAAAAAAAAAAAAAACATCTGACTATTTATCCAACTGGCTTTGAATCATCTTTCTCGTGCTTTTTGTTTTAAGTTGCGCAGTCACCKTTTAATAAATGCTTTACATTTTTATTTTATTGTTTAACAGTCAATAAATTACAGTTTATACTGGAGAATAAACTCTTTAAATTTGCCTGCCTGGCCTGTTTTTCTGCTCGGACGTGATGCTTAATCCAGATGCACCGGTGAACCTGCCAACATCTTTAATTCACATGCTGCCAAACAAGTTAGTCTTCAGTTTCCTGCTCTGGAAAACCATCTTAAAAAAAAAAAAGAAGCCAACACAACCTCAGCACATTTTCTGGAAATGCAAGCAAAGCAAGAAATAAACGGTTGATTATGTGCATTTATTTCCCTGAAGCGTCTGTCAAACAGGACGGCAGCTGTTAGGACAAAGCAGGCACAYGTCTCTGAGGTCTTTATGGAAACCAGATGAGGACCGTGCAGACCCCCCCACAGACACACGTTATGTCTCATCTCCTGGGGGGGTTCACCCCCTTTTGACCCCCAGAATTGGAGGTGTGTCTCCATCACCTCTTTCCCTCCCTTTTATTAAACCCTCACCTTTCATCTCCTCGTTAAAACCTAAAATAAAACCAAAGCAGCAGAAATGAAGTCCGAAGTGTTAACTGATCGTCCTGCAGCTCAAACATTTCTCCTCTGACGTCCTGACAACAGAAAAGCTTTTGCTGCTGAACGTTTTTCACTGAGTTCAGTTTCCTGCAGAGGTGTGTTCAAAACAGAAAGATGAAAACTATTTTTTTCCATTTAAACTCATCAAAAAGAAGAAGAAACAAAAGCATCTCCTCCAGATCAAAGGTTRTTTCCACATCCAGCAAAATCTGTGAGAACCCTCAGTCCAGATACGGCAAACAGACTTTGGTGAGCCAGACGTGTCGCTGTGAAGTACAAATACTTTACTTTTTACTTTACCCATGTAGAAACTTAGTTATCTATACTTTACCGCAGAGGTTTGTAGTAACTAAACGTTTACTTTGTTACAGTACTTCAGTCATTTTTGAGGGTTTGTAATTTTACCAAGTATTTTTTTGAAATTGTTACTTTTACTTTTATTTTGTTACATTTAAAACTGAACACCTGGTTACTCGTTACAAATGAACTGTCTGAACTCATCATGAGAGGAGCTGTTTCTGCTCTAAAAATAAAGTGTTGAGTTTATTTAAACAAGTCAGCTGGTTTCAGTAAATACTGTATGAGGTCATTAAGATCAATTTACTCAACTTGGTTTAGTGGAACCAATTTTATTTATAACAGAATAGAATAGAATAGAATAGAATAGAATAGAATAGAATAGAATAGAATAGAATAGAATAGAATAGAATAGAAAAGCCTTCATTGTCCCGCTGAGGGGCAATCCAGGAGTCACAGCAGCTTCAGATAAAAAGTGTCACAAATATTTTCAAAAGTGCAGAAAAAATATATAAAACAAACAGAAATTACACTAACAGCAATATTATCACTACTA